CCCCAAAACCCCAAAACCCCAAAACCCCAAAACCCCAAAACCCCGCAAAGATTCTTAAAAAATGTTAAAATTTTAAATAATTTTTAGCTGTCCTCTTCAACAGAGATATTTGAAACCATTGGGTTTTGAGGAATACTTCCCAAGCTGAGGTCTCTACCAAGACTGGAATCAAGCTCCTTTGGCTTCTCTTTAGCTTCTATACATGAGCCATGAAGAGTACCCTCCTTAGTCTTATTGAACCTGTGAATATCCATATGCGACCGATGCTGAGTGGTAAAAACCGATGATCCATATTTATCAGAGGATGTGCCTCCAATACTCACATTACTTTCCATATTTGAAGCTATCCTCCTGTGCATGAGGTTTCTACTATTTCCTAAAATTAGTTAAAAGTTTACGATGAGGAAATCCCTTCTCTTCTTCATTTTCATTGTGATATGGACTAACTAGCTGAGACTCAGGATGGACTAATTTCTGGCTCTGCTCTCTTCGATGAGCAGCCGTTCCATTCTGCATAGGGACCACGGAGTTGTCACTGATTGACCTGTTTAATTCACTTTCAAATTCGGAAGAGTCTTCGTCAAATCTCTCCTCTATAACGTTGTTTTCGCCTTTGCGCAAGGAGTCCTTAGCATGGGAGTCTTCCTCCTTATCAGCAATGAAGTCATCTAATAACTCGAAATATTTTCTGAAATTAGCTGGAATGTGCTCTGCTATTGTCTTGAAATGTCTAACGCCTTGAGTATCCGGAGATACCTTAGCGTTGTTTCTCTTAGGCTTAAATCAAGGGCAACATGGAAATTCTGGACTAATTTCCATATATGCTTCAATAATTTGAAGTGCAAGTGTGTATCCTCTCTTATAAGGTATCGGTAAAGGGTATTTTTGCCTGACTAGTGTGCCAAATTTGGAATTAAGATCCATTAAGTAAAACTCTCCGTCACAGAAGAGAATCCTTGAGTGGATTCTTGATACACTTGCATCTGTGATCCTGATATTCAAGCGGGAGACTCTTCCTACAAATAAATCCACAATTTTATTCTTCATGGCAGCTTGCTCGTTTGGAATCTCAATAACGTGAAGAGTCTTACTGTTATTTTTAGAAAAAGATTCTAGGACCATAAAGTTCTGTGTTGTTGGCTCTTTATAATCAAGAATCTTGTGAAGTTTGTCGCCTTGCTGGAATTCCAATCCAAACAGGTCTTTACAAATTCCTCATTCTTGCTTCTCCCAGTGGTAAGAGTTAACATACTCAGCTTCTCGAGTCTTACGATTACTCCTGTTCCATTGCTTAAGGCAGTTAAGATGTATGTACTGTACAGATCCTGAACAACTACAAGGTGCTATCAATGGGTTCTCTTCATTCCTAATTTCGTCTTCATCAAGACAAACTCTACAGATTTTAGCTTTAGAGTCTCTCTTATGAACGGAGCTATTTGATCTTTTCATGGCAGCACTAGTCTCTACTGAGTTACTAAATTAATTACCAAGAGAATCTATTATCTGGCTGGAAGTTTCAAAGAATTTCATTGACTCGTAAGAATGCGTGAAACTCTCTAAAAATTAATAGAATTGGTACTTTTTCGTAAAATTTTTGATTTAGCTTTAGTGCAATTTTCTTTGAAGCTATGGTCAAGTTCATCCTTGCTGCTGATCTGTTTCACTTTGAATCTAACTTTCCCAAACCTGAGGATATCTCCTTGCTTTATGCGGTAGCCATATTTAGGATCTATAAGATCCTTGAGGGAGTATTTGTTGACATCATTAAGCACTAGCCAGACGCTGGGCTTTTTGGTATCAATAATTTCATCCTCTTGGAAGTCCTTGCCGTGGTAGATCCAGTACTTGCCTCCTTTGTACACAATACAGGCTATAGCAATTAGTTTCAGGACGAACAGAGCGGGTCGAACCCATCTTCCTTATGATTGATAATGGGGCTCTTATGTAACAGTTCATTCTCTAGGTCTATATAGCAAGAGTCCTTTATAATAAATTTATTTGTATACGAATTCTGACTCAGATTCAGCACTAGGAATTAACTTTACCATTACCTGTAGTCGAATAATCACTGGTACTGAGGAGACCCTTGAACAGATTCGAATTTTAGAGAGTACTCTGGCTGATTCTTACTATGCTCAGCAATGATCCCCTCCTTTTTATTAGCAAGGATCCTCGATGATGTTGCTCCCATTTGTATAATATTCAATCAACTTAATAATCTAAGGGGTTTTGGGGTTTTGGGGTTTTGGGGTTTTGGGG